GAATCGGGCACAGCAATGGATGAACATGTACAGAGGAGAGGAAATGCATAAACATGTGCGTCACACAGACACAGGCAACACCTGGCCTGAGTGATGTTAATTTGTTGCGACGGTGAGGAGAAGTCTCAGTGGGGAGAAAGAAAGCAGAACAATGCCGCTCCGCCATAAAGGTCAGAGGGAGGGAGCCAGCTAATGAGCCCCTGTAATAAATAGTGTGCGAAAGCAGAGACAAAAACGTGTATTGTGGGTGACGGGTGTCTTTGTACACAGACAGCGACACGCCAGAGCAGTCATCCTTAATGTTAGACAGACACTTGCAATCTCATCTCTTATTTTTTTTACTTGCCGGTGCTGTCACAGTAGTTCTGTGCACCTGTGATGACTGAGGGAAAAGACGCCGGGATTTATGGAGCAAACACAGCTTTATTTGATCCTGTGTTTTTCATTCAAACTGCCTTTTTATGGATCTACAGTATCAGACAAGTGATACCAAACCAGATGCTTTTAAGCAGACAAGACAGAAACAGTGAGGGAGTATCACGGAGGCAGCAAAACAAGGATGTTCCCTCTTTTTTTATTTCAGATATTATCAGATCATAAGATGTTTCATTTTGGAATATTAGATTCAGCTGCTGCCTTTGATCCTGCCGGAGGACTGGAGGATGGACGGAGGTCGATGTTAGATTTCAGATGCTGTGATGTTACAAAGTTCTGTGGGTGTCTTTTAAATTACGTTGCCTCAAATAAAGATTTACTTGTCACCCACGTTCTGTGTAACAAGAGAAAGGGCTGTTCTCATCAAGAAGGACGACATGTGATGAGATCAGCTGACATAATCAAGTTTTCATATCAAACATCATAATCAGCTGCAATGCTTTTGTAGAGCAGAAGGTTGCTGTCAATTGGTGCAGAAACATGATGATTGCCAGTGTTAAATTTTGATGCCTCTGTAAGCGTCATGGAGGAGAGCTGCTAATTAGCTTTTGCAGCTTTGAGAAAGTGTGATGTGATTTGGCTCCATTTATTCAAGATGTAATCAGTCTGTCTTAAAGATGTGCTACACAACATGCCCCCATCCTGGGTGTTGGGATGGGAGGCCGCACACAATCCACTCAAAAATCAACTTCTTATTGTCGCAGCATTCTTTGCCTCTTCTTTTCCTGTCAGATAGGAAATCTAGGAGTGTATCAAGCTTTCAACATTAGAGATGCATCAATCCAATACACCAGATCAGTATGTCCAATACTGGCCTCATTAAGGGATCCAGGTAGTGTTTTTGCTCTAGCTACATTCATACATTCTGCTGACTCTTGGTGCAGGTGTAAGCCCTGGCCCCACATATAACCCCAATGAGTTCCACACTGTGAGGCAGGTCTAAACATTAAAGACTGTCCAATTGCCCTGGGCAAATATAAGGCCACATCAGACAGGTCAATCTAGCAACTTACTTCAATCAGGCAAGTGATAAAAAATAATGAAACACACTGTCTTTTCCAGAGCTGATGATGAAAGTTGCTAAGGAGTGAGAATCTCACTTCCTCATCAACTCTGTGTAGAGTTGCACATGTGCAGTACTGATAAGGCACTTTTCTAAACTTAGCTGTGCAGTTTTGTGTCCTGTCCAACTTGTGTCCTGGTTCAAAGAAGAGCCACTTGGTTGGAATCAAATTCAAGGGCTTTTTTGACTCATCCATCCACCCTGACCTCCTCTCTAGAAGATTTAGGAGCGCTACAAGTCATAAGTGACACAGTTTTAGGCAACTGAACTACTGACAAATGCTTTTGTTTGAATTTAAAGGATAGCTAAACTGTTGGCACCTAGCAGTTGCTTCCACCTCTTCACATCCCAAAGGTGCTCTACTGGATTGAGACCTGGTGACTGTGGAGGCCATTGGAGTACAGTGAACTCATTGTCATGTTCAAGAAACCAGTTTGAGGTGATTTGAGCTTTGTGACATGGTGCGTTATCCTGCTGGAAGTAGCCATCAGAAGATGGGTACACTGTGGTCATAAAGGGATGGACACGGTCAGCTACAATACTCAGGTAGGCTGTGGTGTTTAAACCATGCTCAGTTGGTACTAAGGGGCCCAAAGTGTGCCAAGAAAATATCCCCCACACCATTACACCACCACCAGCAGCCTGAACCGTTGATACAAGGCAGGATGGATCCATGCTTTCATGTTGTTTACACCAAATTCTGACCCTACCATCTGAATGTGGCAGCAGAAATCCAGACTCATCAGACCAGGCAACGTTTTTCCAATCTTCTATTGTCCAGTTTTGGTGAGCCTGTGTGAACTGTAGCCTCAGTTTCCTGTTGTTAGCTGACAGGAGTGGCACCTGGTGTGGTACAACCTTGGTTGTAACCAGTGGTTATTTGAGTCACTGTTGCCTTTCTATCATCTTGAACCAGTCTGGCCATTCTCCTCTGACCTCTGGCATCAACAAGGCATTTTCTCTTTTTGGACCATTCTCTGTAAACCCTAGAGATGGTTGTGTGTGAAAATCCCAGTAGATCAGCAGTTTCTGACAGACCAGCCCGTCTGGCACCAACAACCATGCCACGTTCAAAGTCACTTAAATCACCTTTCTTCCCCATTCTGATGCTCAGTTTGAGCTTCAGCAAGTCGTCTTGACCATGTCTACATGCCTAAATGCAGTGAGTTGCTGCCACATGATTGGCTGATTAGCTATTTGCTTAACAAGCAGCTACACAGGTGTACCTAAAGTGGCTGGTGAATGTGTGCTACAAAGATTTTCTGCCCGCCTACATGAACACATCTCCTGGCTTCAGAAAAATGTACGAGCTGCACTTCACCACTTCCTGGTGTGTTTTCACACAGCACAGTATACTTGATACAGAATGTTGGCTGAAGCACTGACCAGTACTATGTTAGATAATTTTAATGGATACATCCCAATGAATCAAAATACAGAGTTGTTTGTGGCCAAATTTATTAACCAATCCGGTAATCACAAATCCAAAATAACTTCTATCTGCCTTTTACCACCTGCTCGACAATATATTGAGTAAAGGCTACTCCTGTCAGGCTGTGGTTCAAGATAACAAGGGCTGCAATTGCACCAGTGTTTACCTGTCTTTAAACATTATTACACACATTTTAGCCTGAGATCACCCCAGCCCACCTGTTGTGAGAGGACAGTCCTCCTACTGTTTGTCTTGAAAGTTAACAGAGTGTAGACGGAGGATAACGAAGGGAAAACGACAGGCCAGATGAGATGGGACAGCAATGAGTAGGGCTGAAAGCATCTTTTGTCAAAATATCTGGTAATGTGTTTGGGATTGGTTGCTATGAGTCAGTTGAGTTCAAACAGAAACACAAGTGGGTCGTTGTAAAACTGTGTTGACTTTGCAGTAACAGAGCTAATAAAAGCCCGGAGCTAAGCAGTGTGTGCAGGGAAAGCAACATGAGCGTAATATCTGGGGGCAACAGACAAACATCACACGCTGTGCACTTGCAGTCGGGGGTATGTGCAGTGGGGTCAATGTATTTGCATACAGACAGAGACACACACAAAAACCTTCTGCAGAACCATCATCTTCAATCACAGAGCTAAATTTGTTTCCATGTTGTTCAGTAACTTTTTTCCCCCTCTGTGCTTTTTTCCCATTATTCATTCATCGTGCAGCATTGGCACCTCAGTGAAAGGCTTGGACCGCCTTCGTGACGGAGCGTCCAGTCCATCTTTGCTTCGTTGCAACTGAAAATCAATAGGCATGAAAGACGGCCCCATGGATTCATAATAGCTTCAAAACAAACAGCAGACAGGATAAAAAAGGCTGAGGGGTCAGCGTGAACACTGAGCTTCAGGCTCCTGCTGCTGTGCCTCTGAAATACTGAGAAAGAAAAGCACAGAGAGAAATAAGAAAGCTTCTCCTCATCTACTGTTGTTGTTTTTTTAACCGCATTCCTCCTGTCAAGCAGAGACACTACAGGTAGAGCTGCAGTTTATGATTTACAGTGGTGTGTATCTGCTGCAGGCCCTGCCGTGTGAACCGAAATATTTGATGACTCCAAAATAACATTTGCTGTAGTTTTATCATGCTGCACGTTTCACTCTGGCAATTATTTTTTAACTTCATAACCCATCCTCTCTTTGAAGCTGAAAACCATAAAGCTCCTTTAAGCTGCACTCTTAACTTTGAAAAGAGCTGTGAAGCTTAATATCACTCTGACTGTGCATGTTTTCCTCACTAGAGTAGATAAACATTTGGACAGGAAGTGCACTGGTCTCTATTTGATGGCCCCATTAAATGTGAAGTACAGTAGTCGGGGTTTAATCAGAAGACCACACCTGCACATGCTGTCTACAGTATTCTGTTAGCCTGTGTTCTGTATTTAACTCCTTGAGTTAAAGGGACAGTTCACCCTAAATTAAAATATATATTTTTCCTCTTACCTGTAGTGCTATTTATCAGTCTAGATTGTTTCGGTATGAGTTGCAGAGTGTTGGAGATATCAGCTGTAGAGATGTCTGCCTTCTCTCCAATATAATGGAACTAGATGTCACTCAGCTTGTGGTGCTCAAAGTGCCAAAAAATCCATTTTAAAAACTCAACATCAATGTCTCTTTCCAGAAATCATGACCTGGTTACTCAAGATAATCCACAGACCTTGTTGTGAGCAGTTTCATGTAGGAACTATTTTCTTTCTACTGAAGTATACCTGCCAACTGAATCACCACGCAAGAGGAAGTGTGCAACTACTGCTAACTCTTCCCTCTGTGCAGTGATACAGTTGGTGGGTGTAGTTCAGCCATCTAGTTCCATTATATTGGAGAGAAGGCAGACATCTCTACGGCTGATATCTCCAACACTCTGCAACTCACACCAAAACAATCTAGACTGATAAATAGCACTACAGGTAAGAGGAAACGTATGTGATTTAGATTTTGATTGAATTGCCCCCTTAATTGTTATATATTTCTAGATACTGTGTGACTCAATCTATCTTGCATGTTTGTATCCACCCTGTAGGCATCGTTTCCCTGATCTCCCTGGCTGTCCTCTCCTATGAGCGCTACAGCACCATGGTGGCCCCCACTGAGGCTGACTCCTCCAACTACCGGAAGATCTCCCTGGGCATCATCCTCTCCTGGGTCTACTCCCTCATCTGGACCCTGCCGCCACTCTTTGGCTGGAGCCAATACGGCCCAGAGGGACCCGGGACCACCTGCTCTGTCGACTGGACGGCCAAGACGGCGAATAGCATGTCTTACATCATCTGCCTGTTTGTCTTCTGCCTCATCGTGCCATTCCTGGTGATCGTGTTCTGCTACGGGAAGCTGCTGTGCGCCATCAGACAGGTGAGGGAACATGGGGATGGGCAAGGCCTCTGCTAAACCTGCACAAAGGAGGCTACTGTAGGTGCCTCTGCAGTGGTGGGATTTTCAACACTAAAAGCACATATTCCACATCCCATAAACCCCAATACTTAAGGAGACAGACTGATAAGTACAGGCTGCATTAAACCAAGACACCCAGCAGAAACAGAGAACATAAAAACTGAAATATATTCCCATTTTTTCACTTCCAGCCTCATTACAGACAGTCTTCCTTTGTCGACAGAAACTCAGCAGATGTCAAACAAAAGCTAAATGATAAATAAATGGCTGCTTTTACAGAGTACAGCACTTTTATCCAACGCACTTTACAATTTGCCTCTCATTCATCTATTCACATCTTCCGAAGGTGAACCAGTGTGACACAATGCAGTATACATGAGTCATTGTTTATGGTAATCACACCATCTTAAAGTTGGGTTAGGCAGAAATCTAGTAAGGCAAGAAAAAAAGAAAGAATCCAAAAATATTCCTCCTCCTCCAGCTCTCCTCTCTGCCCAAGCCCCTCCCACCTGATGACCACCGGCATATGCACGCTATATGCAGCAGCTTGGGAGACTGACCGGTTGGTGGCTGTGGTAACTGGATCTGACTAGCGCAAACCCACCAACTCTGGGTGTCACAGCAGGCTGGTAGCCAGCAGCAGTGCTGGGTCGAACCTGTGTAAAGGCAGCAATAGAAAGTTTGCTGATTTACCAGAAAGTCAGGGCTGTCAGTCCCCTAGAGCTGGGGCTTGCACTGGCTGGATTCGGGTTGCTGCAGCCACTGACAAGGGGTCTGTCTTCCTTTTCTGGGTTACTTTGCAGGGTAGACAGTTGTGCTAATGCTACAATAGCAACTCTCTCTGCAGAATTCTCCGCCACTGAATCAGGTTTTCACTTGAAGGGACGGGCAAGCACATCTGTATTTGCAGAACAGCCAATAGGAACGCCCTCTTTCTGAAATGACCTTTGATTTTCCTGTCACTTTCTAAAGCCTGAAAGCAGAGCCAAGAGGAGGTGCAGAAGTCTACTGTTCTCTCAGTCCACTTGAATTAAAACATGCTGAAAGTTTACTATAGGAATTTTCCCCAGTGACACCAGAGTAAAACTGCCTACCCCAGCTTTAAACATCTCATTATTGGTGATTTATTGAGGTTAAAATGTAACACCTTGCACCTTTAATTTTACAAACTAGTACACAGAGATATTCATTGCCCAACTATGCAGTTCTTCTCAGCTCTGTGAAGCATTTAAGCCTCTTTCAGCTCACTGCTCTGGTTGTACATCCAGCAACTGTACGGCTGTTACTGTTCTCATTAACCAGAAGAAAAGCCCAAAGCCCTTTGTATACTACCTACAGTGGTGGAAAAAAGTTTTCGGACACCCCATGCATTTGTGAAATATTGCATTAAGAACCACTCTTATGTCTTCAAGTGCAATTTCTTTTAGTACAGTCACAGCCAAAATACTAAATAAATCCTAAAAAAGCCATTAAAAACTTAAAATTGATTGGTTCCATAAAAATACATAAGAAATTTTGAGTATTGGGTCATTTTGGTACCAGTGATGAAGGTCGTTCTTTTTATTAAAAGACACAATTTTTGTTGCCAAGCTTCGTGTCTACATAAAGCCAGCACATTTGAAAGTTTTCAGACACAAAAATGGCTAAAACAAGGAACCTAACGCAGGAAACACGCCTCTACATAAAGCCAGCACATTTGAAAGTTTTCAGACACAAAAATGGCTAAAACAAGGAACCTAACGCAGGAAACACGCCTGAAGATAAAGATTCTCAGTCAGGAAGGGTACAGCTGCCGCCAGATAGCCAGGAAGTGCAGATGCAGTCCTTCAGCAGTTGGATACACTCTGCAGAAATACAGACGAACCAACAGCTTGGAAGACAAACCAAGATCTGGGCGTCCAAGGGTTTCTTCAGCAAGAAATGATTGCATCCTGATCCGCATGTGCAGGCAAAACCGCCGAATGACATCACAGGAGCTTCAGCAGCAGTGGTCAAACCAAACTGGTGTCCAGTGTTCCACCCGCACTGTACGTGGCCGACTTTTAGATCATGGATTAAGGTCCTACAAGGCTATCAAGAAGCCCCTGATCAAAGAGAGACAGAGGTTAGCCCGGCGTCGTTGGGCCCAGGCACACAAGAACTGGACAGCCAGGAATTGGAAGAAGATTTTGTGGTCAGATGAGTCCAGTTTCCAGCTTTATCTTCCTCCTACTAATGTGAGGGTACGCAGAAGGCCAGGCGAAGCATTATCTCCAGCATGTACAGTACCTACTGTCAAGCATGGTGGAGGCAGTATCATGGTTTGGGGATGCATGAGTGCTGCTGGTGTTGGTCATCTCACTGTCTGTGATGGCACATTGAAGTCTACCAAGTATTGTACCATTCTCAAAACCCACATGCTCCCTTCTGCACGTGCACTGTTCCGTCGAGGTAAAAACTGGATGTTTCAACAAGATAATGCCCCTTGCCACACATCCAAGGCCAGTAGAACTTGGCTGCAGGAGCAAAGTATCCAGGTCTTAGAGTGGCCAGCTCAATCCCTGGACATGAGCCCCATTGAAAATCTGTGGTGGATTATCAAAAGGTCTGTTTCAAAGCATAAACCAAAGAATTTAGAAGAATTAAAAGCAGTAATTCAAGAAGAATGGGACAAAATTACCCCTCAACAGTGTGAAAGGCTCGTGGGGAACATGCCAGCCAGGATTAGAGCTCTACTACGTGCCAGTGGCAGGACTACTAAATATTAATTTGATGATGTGATGGTTTATTTATTTTTTGTTCAGTTTTGAACACATTCTCTGTTATTTGTTGACTTTGATACCAACAATGTTGAGAACTGACATATTGAAACTGTCAAGAATTTAGTTTTGTTAGTTTTTCTTGTAAACAATAAACAAAAAAATATAATTTGTATTTGTTTGTATTTGTCTAATGCAGCCACACCTTTTGAAACACAAAAAAGATTTTTCCACAAATATTTCATGATAATATTTGAGATTGTGTAAAATTTTAAGGGTGTCCGAAAACTTTTTTCCACCACTGTACTAAGCACCAAACTATAGAAAGACACAGATAGTGATTATCTGGTGAACATAATGGGGCATTTAGCCGCTAAAGAACAGATAATTACATCAGGAGTTGGAAGAGACTAAAGCACAGGCAAAAGGAGAGTTAATATTGGACTAACATTGATCAGGTGCCCAGAATGAATGCTAACATTGCTCCATGTCTACTGAATATGTAAACAGGCAACTGTTCACTAACAGCTTTGCCATATTAATTGAAAATGTAGTAAAATGTCATGTTTTCTGATACAATAATGCTAAAATAAAACATAACGCTCATGGGATGGCATCATTACTTTCATGCCAGCTGTTTCAGCAGATGCTGTGTATAACACTGTGCCAGTGTAACAATATTAACTGCAGCTCAATGCATCTCAACTTAAGAACAGAAGCAGCAACACTGGAGACAGAGCTAAAGTCTATCAAAGCCTCTACATCAGGGCTGTCAAACATACGGCCCGCGGGTCATAAGGGTCCAATGTGGCCCACTCAATGAGTTTGCTCAGTGTAAAAATTGCAGAGAAGCCGTTAATATTTCAATTAAATGTACTGCTTTTCCTGTTTGTCCAAATGGACCAGTTCCTGTTTCTACACAGAGGTAAATGGGAAGCCAGTGTGTTTGGTATGCTCACAGCACCTTTCAGTGCTCAAGCAATATTATATTCAACACCACTATCAAACTCATTATGGTAAAAAAATACAACAACTTGCAACTAAGAGCAGAGAAGATAAATTAATTGTTGGCCAGTTTGAGGAAACATAAATCTGGTTTTAGTTTTAGCCCAGAGATCCGCACTGCAGCTGTGAAAGCTAGCTACCTTATTGCTAACAAAATAGCATCAGCATCAAAGACACACACTGAGCCAGAGTTTGCTCCGGTGTGACCTACGTGTACCGCTCTAGTTTGGAGAACATGAGACAGCAGTCTTCAGTCCTCTGTGAGATAATGTGCCGTTATAGTCACATATGAATCCAGTGACCTTGAAGCTGAGGCGTCACAAGTTAACGCCACCCTTCTTGATGTACTCAGATTCCTCAGCTTTATGCTTCACTTCTCTGTAGAGCTTGGGTACAGCTGTGTCGGTGAAAAAACATCAGGACGGAGTCACATACTGCCGAGTGTTTTTATGTGTAACAAAAGCCTTGGTTTTCAACAGTGCTGTATGGACGCACGTTATATTCTTAGCTCTCTCAGAGTTGGATGGTAGTTTTGTCAAGCTAAGTGTGTCCAGGGTGCATTAGCTTGGCCGTCAGCGGCTAATGCTACCTCTGGATGGTGGAGTGTGAGGAGAGCCCTCATGTTTATCGTATTCCCAGAGTATTCTCATATGACACGGCTCGCAAATCACGTGTCATATCCAAGTCCTCCAAGTCCTTTCCTCCTGTGTTAAAAATTCAAAATACGTCCAGACGTTTGATTTAAACGCACACGGCACATTTCTGATCTTTTCTGTGGTGCCTCCATCTTTGTTTTGATGATTTTCCTGCCAAATGCTGATGACTGAGACCTCTGCTGACCTCACCAGGAAAAACACATCATCAACAAAAAGCAATTTCTTCCGTTATTCTAGTACCAAAAGATACTATGTTGATTGATTTTTTCCCCCCACCCCTATCATTTACAGGTATGTTATGTTATGTTATGGTTTTACTGGTGTGGCCCACTTGAGATCAAATTGGGCTGTATGAGGTCCATGAACTAAAATGAGTTTGACCGCCCTGCTCTAGATGCTGGATACAGCTGTAAATAGGACAACAAAAAAAGCTAAAACCAATATCTCTTGCAATCTAAACACCACAAGAGACAGTGTTTTTGTCTTTATTAAGACAGGTGTTTCAGACTCCTAAACAGTGTTTGCCTCTGCAGTGAAAGATGTGTGCCCTGGGCCATTAAAC